GTGTAACATTGAAAATTTTCACCCCTTGAAAACCATTGTCAACCTCGGCTGCTCCTCGGTTGACAATGGTTTTCTTGGAGTGAAAATTTTCAATGTTACACTCAACTACATGCAATATTTATATAATATTATTAGCTCTTCTGAGCCAAAGGCTCAAAGAGCTAATGCTTTGGCCATTTGTGCGGTGTGCGTAAACTTTTTAGAATATGGGCCATAACTCAAGAACCCCTTGGCCAATTATTGTCAAATTTGTCACAGGGCATCCTTGGCCCAAGGGCTCTCGTTTATACTAAAACAAGGGTTGTGGCCCTTTAACAAGGGGAGATAATTAGGAAAATAGAAACAAAAGTACTGGTTGCTAAAAAATCTTCTTCTCAAGAACCACTGGGCAGATTATCACCAAACTTACAGAAAAGGATGAGAATATGTTGAAGAATAAAAGATGTTCAAGGCATCACCCTGGGGCAAAGGGCGTGGTCTCAAGGTCACTTCAAAGTTGACCAAAAATTACATTTAATTAAAATGTTGATACTTTGCTTACTATAAGGACTAGAATCATCAAATCTTGTCAGTTGATGCATCTAAGGACCTCATATCATGTTGACTCAAAAGTAGGTCATGGTGACCTACTTTTTAAATTTTTTATTTATGATTAAGAGGCATATTTTGACTGAAAAGTAGGTCACCATGACCTACTTTTATAAAATTTATGGCTTTAATTAAATATTTTGGGTACTAATTGGCTTAGAATCATCAATCTTTGTCAGTTGATGCATCTTGGGTCCTCGGAGTAAGTCGACTGAAAAGTAGGTCATCGTGACCTACTTTTGAAAATTTATGGCTTTAATTAAATATTTCAGGCACTAATTGGCTTAGAATCATGGAAATTTTTCAGTTGATGCATCTTGGGTTCTCGGAGTAGGTGGACTGAAAAGTAGGTCACTGTGACCTACTTTTCAATTTATATGACTATAATTAAATATTTCAGATACTAATTAGCTTAGAATCATCAAACTTTGTCAGCTGATGCATCTTAGGTCTTTGGAGTAAGTCGACTGAAAACTTGGTCACCATGACCTACATGTACATTTGAAAAGTCATGGCTTTAATTAAATATTTCAGGTACTATTTGACTTAGAATCATCAAAATTTGTCAGTTGATATATCTTGGGTCCTCGGAGTAGGTCGACTGAAAAGTAGGTCACCGTGACCTACTTTTCAATTTTTATGACTATAATTAAATATTTTGAATACTAATTGGCTTAGAATCATCAAACTTTGTCAGTTGATGCATCTTGGGTCCGCAGAGTTAGTCGACTGATATGGAGGTCACTGTGACCTATTTTTGAAATTTTATGGCTTTATTTAAATATATCAGGTACTTATTGGCTTAGAATCATCAAACTTTGTTAGTTGATGCATCTTGGGTCCTCAGAGTATGTCATTTGAAAAGAAGGTCACTGTGACCTACTTTTGCAATTTTATGGTTATAATTGTAAAAAATATTTTAGGTATTAATTGGCTTAGAATCATCAAACTTAGTTGATGCATCTTGGGTCCTCAGGGAATGACAAGTGATAAGTAGGTCACCATGACCTACTCCCAGGTACTAATTAGCTTAGAATCATCCTGGGTTCTCAGGGTGTTTTATTTAAAATGTAGGTCATGATGACCTACCTTGGAATTTCAAGGCTATATCTAAATATACAGGATACTTAGAGGCTTCAAGTAGAAGTGATAGGTTGTACAGTTTATCAGAAGAGCAATTCAAGGCCCTTGGGCCTCTTGTATTTATATATGATATCTTCAAAAGATTATCAGATCAGATCAGAAACATCAACAAGAGGAATTTATTTCACAAGTGGGACAGGAATTTTATGGTTCATCTTGATAAAAAGGAGATGCATGAACTAATAATGTACTCACGGGTTGGCACTGGTGACCCAGTTAAAATTTTAGGAGCAAGTCCACTCTAGGGATGCACACTACCAGATTTGCTTCAGATGCTAGATCAGGCCCACATTTTGTGAGCAATTTTTGTATCAACTATGAACTTCCAATGTTTCTCCTTAATTATATAAGAAGTTGTAGATCAGACAAAAGTTTGATAATTTTTCTGCCAGTGGCCTTGAACTTGCTGGAATGACCTTGGGTCAACTCTTGACACACTCTTGGTCATAAAAAATCTTTGTACTAAGTAATGAGCTTATAATGTACATTAGCAATCAATGGGATCAATCAATTGATTCTCCATTACAAAGGTATAGTCTGGACAAGATTGCATAGACAGATAAAAGGTGATTCCTATATTTCCTACAAACTTTGTTTGGGATGGAGGTATAATGAGTGTTTTAAATCCACATCCATGGAAGCTCTGTCTTGGGAGAATTATAGTTTCTTTGATATAGTAGTGCTAAAACTCTTTTGATCACCTGATTAAAAGAAATCTAGATCATAAAGGTGGGTCAGATATTAGTAATGTCTCCTAAGCATTTCTGGTAAATGTACATCCCTAGATCCATTATCCATGCAAGTTTGGTCCAGGTAGGTTTTATAGTTACTTTGGAATGAACCTGCTCCAAAAACCTTAAATATTGTTGCTCATCTAGAAATGTAGATCAGATCCAGCCTAGTACTGAGCATCTTTAGATGTATCATCATTGCAGATTAGGTCATTGTAGGGCTTATAGTAACTTGGAATAGACTAGCTCCAAAAATTTAATATGGTCACTCATCTGGAAAACATAGGTCAGACCCAGCATCTGAAGCATGACTGGTAGTGTGCATTTCTAGATGCATCATCCTTGCAAGCTTATATAGTTACTCGGGAATGGACCTGCTCCATAAACATTAATCCAGCTTCAGCATGCATCCATAAAAACATCACCCATGCAAATAGCAATTGGTATCACAGAAGAAAATGAAGGTGTGTCGTGATCACCTTAAAGTGTGTCATGATCTGACCCAAGGACAATTGATCAATATCAAGATCACCCATAGAAAAATGTTTAATTCCTGTCCTGACCTTATATTGTAATGGAGAACATTAGAGGGTCATACGTACCTGTATATGATCTGAGGGTATTACTGACCATGACCCAAGGTCATTCCAGCATGTTTGAGGTCACTGGCAAAAAAGGGATTGTGTCCTGCCTCTAGCTCTCAAATGGAGGCTGATTGGAAGTTGATACTAGGTACAACCATGACCTTAGGTCATGACCTTAATTCAAGGTCATTCCAGCATGTTCAAAGTCGCTGGCAGAAAAAGTTTCTTTTTTTTCCCAGTCCACAACTTACTGAGCTTGCTCACAGTACCTCTAGGTTAGTGTGGGACTTTACCTTCACTTATATGTATAACATTTGTTAATGTGAGCTTTATAATCTTTGATTACATATGTTTTTATATTTTAGGAGTGCATGCTCAGCACAATTGAAAATAATTTTAAAAATGTCATGATTGAGATAAATTTCATATCCAGCTGCAGAACAATGAATTTTCTGTTGTTAACATACATGTACATTTTCTTTAGTTTTTAGCTCACCTGAGCCGAAGGCTCAAGTGAGCTTTTCTGATCACTTTTTGTCCGGCGTCCACCTGTCTGTCCATCTGTCTGTCTGTCTGTAAACTTTTAACATTTTCGACTTCTTCTCAAGAACCACTGGGCCAATTTCAACCAAACTTGCCACAAAGTATCCTTGGGTGAAGGGGATTCAAGTTTATTCAAATGAAGGGCCACACCCTCTTACAAGGGGAGATGATAAAGAATTAGAGAAAAATTAATAGCATCTTTTAAAAATCTTCTCAAGAACCACAGGGCCAGGAAAGATGAAACTCAGTTGGAAGCATCCTCAGGTAGTGTAGATTCAAGTTTGTTCAAATTATGACCCTGGGGGTAGGGCGGGGCCACAAGGGAGGATCAAAGTTTTACATAGAGATATATTGGAAAAATCTTTAAAAAATCTTCTCAGGAACAGCAAAGCCATGATTGGTCATATTTATATGGAAGGATCCTCAGGTAGTTTAGATTCAAATTTATTCAAATCATGCCCCCCAGGGATAGGGCAGGGCCACTATGGAGGATCAAAGTTTTACATAGAAATATATAGGAAAAAAGTTTTAAAATCTTCTTCTCAGGAATAGCAAAGCCCTGATTGATCATATTTATGTGGAAGCATCCTCAGGTAGTGTAGATTCTATTTTGTTCAGATCATGACCCCCGGGGGTAGGGCAGGGCCACAATGGAGGATCAAAGTCTTAAATAGAAATATATAGAAAATATCTACTTCTGAAGAACTGCAAAGCCATGATCAGTCATTTTGATATGGAAGCATCCTCAGGTAGTGTAGATTCAAGTTTGTTCAAATGATGACCCCTTGGGATAGGGTTGGGCCACAATAGGGGATTGAAAATTTTACATAGGAACATATAGGAAAATATCTTCTTCTCAAGAACTGGAAATCATGTTTAGTCATTTTGATATGAAAGCATCCTCAGGTAGTGTAAATTCAATTTTGTTCAAATGATGACCCCCGGGGGTAGGGTTGGGCCCAATGGGGGTCGAAAGTTTTGCATAAGAACATATAGAAAAAATATTTCTTGTCAAGAACAGAAAAGCTATGTTTAGTCATATTGATATGGAAGCATCCTCAGGCAGTGTAGATTCAAGTTTGTTCAAATATGACCCCTGGGATAGGGAGGAGCCACAATGGGGGATCAAATTTTTACAAAGGAATATATGGGGAAAATTTTTTTAAATCTTCTCAAGTACAACAAAGCCATTTGTTATATTGACATAGAAGCATCATCAGATAGTTTAAAATTCAAGCCCCCCACTCCCCTCCCCCAGTAATCTTTTCAACACTGAACTGATTTGTGCTTTTGCCTAGCCAATATGCTCAGGTGAGCGATGTGGCCCATGGGCCTCTTGTTATAGTTCTACTGGTCAGATCATTTTAAAATTAAAAGGGACAATATTTATAATGTCCTGTGTTTTCACTAGGTCCTCAAAGAACAGGAGTAATGGTGGAGTTTTCAGATTTAGCATTTCACTTCACTGCCCCTGGTGATCTGTCAGATGAAGAACTCGATGATGTGTTGGAGTTTCTTCATGAACGAATTCAGAAACAAGAGAAGTCAGAGATCCAGCAGCTTAACTACCTCAGTGATAGCTTAAGGAGGTGGGTGTTTATACATTGTATTTTATCAATGTATGGGACTTTGGGTAGAGCAGATAAAATAATCATTTGTAAATTGTCTTTTAATTAAATGATTTATATTTTTAAAAGTTAATTGACTTTCAAGAGTAGAAGTAACCGTACAATTTGAATCGATGAAACAGGAAATTGGAAGGTGGGAAAGAGGAAACGTAATAGATTTTTATTGGTATGCTGAGTTTTATTTGTGATGGTCACCAACAAATAGGCAATTTAGTTAACATCAATAATTGCTAAAGAGATACAAAAGCACCGAGAATAAAAAGATTGTGTAATTTGCTACAGAAACCTAACGTGAAATAAGGGTTCACCTATCAGTTGTAGACTGGTTGAATGCATAGACATTTTTATTTTACAAAAACCTGCATGGTTATCGCGTAAGTGTGTTAATATTTGCAAGTGTTTGCAAGGACAGAAAAAATCCCAAATTAGAAAGATAGTCATTGTGAACAAATCCATTGCTCATGCATCTTAAAAGATATATATATATATATATATATATATATATATTCAATTAAGGTTGATATTTTTCGTTTAAAACTTAAGTCTTTAAGATGAGTAAAAGTGGCATTTATATTGTTTATGTGCAATTAACTGTTAACCTCAACTTACAATATTGGTTTTAGAAGGAATATATATTATGACTATTGCCAGGGATATCATAAACTGCAAAAAAACTAGTCAGGTGAAGCAATAGAGAATAAATGTTTTTATACTTACATTGCAAGAAAAAGTTTCCCTTAGTTGTTCATTTGCTGCACATATGTCAGATCAACTTTCACTCTTGAAATTGCTTTCTGGTGAAATAGCTGTGTCTGTTCAATAAAACAAGATATCCTCTGTCATGCTGAATGAACAGAGCTTGGAGATGTGGGCATTTTTTCATTTGTCTACTAAATACATCACTCCATAGGCCTCTCTGTTCACAGTGTCCAAATTGATGGTTAAGCAGTAGGTGATGTCTGAATCACAGTCATTATTACAAAAATAAATTCTAAATACTGTGAAAACGTGCATTGACCATTCATTCTTATACTTTCAATTTACTTAATTTTATTCTCAAATTATGTGAAACTTTTTAAGACCTACAGTTAAGGGTCTGTGTCGATCAGAATGTACAGCTGTTATTACTCTCAGATGTCCACACTTACAAAAAAGTTTTTGGAAATTGTAAGGAAAGTGTATGTCATGCATATGTTTCCAGCATTATTGAACTAGGAGCTAAAGGGGATAGAACTTCCAATTACTTTTTACTCAGTTTTATTTAAAAGATATTACTTAATACATACATTGTGAAACAGATGGTCCGAGATTTAGTGTTGATAATGACCAAGGTCACATATTAATACTGTATGATTTATCTTGAAGTGTTGGATGTATGAACTTGGATTGAAACTTGTATATTGGATGTGAAGTAACTAATTCATTAAGCATCTGTCAAAAATGTCCTATATTCTAAGAAAAAGGAGTCAAAATATTTGGGTAAAGGAACAGAAATTTTTACTATCAAGATTCCCCCCTCCCCCCAAGGATCTCAGAGGGGGTCAAAATCTTCTATTTTAAAAAGTGTATACTTCACACATACTAGACAGCTGGCAGAAATAAATTATTACAGGAAAATAATGGTGAAAAGAACTTTGTACGATAGATGTAAATTAGGCCATCTTTGAAAAAAAGGTTTGTTTGCCCTCTCCCGACTGACTGACTAAAAACCAGTGATATATTTTATTCTGTACCGATATTTAGCAGAATTCTGGTTATTAAGTAATCCAAGAGTCCGATATTTATACAGGTGTTTTCCAATATTTCGGTACTTTCTTTTTGCACAGCAATCCTTTTCTGTTTCTGTCCATGTGAAAAATTCAAGTCGGTAAGTCTGTGTTTTGATCTAGTCTGCATCATCCAGATGTTTGCTTTTATCTCTAAGTAAGCCCTAACAAATATAAACTATAGTTTATTATAGTTAACTATTGTAAATCAAAGTGTCAAAGTTATCACTATAGTGAGTCAAAGTCTTCAAAGTGATTACTATTGTGTCGTAGTGATCACTATAGTAAATCAAAGTTTTCAAAATGATCACTATAGTGTCGTAGTTATCACTATAATAGTAAATCAAAGTTTTCACCATAGTAAATCAATGTTTTCATAGTGATGACAAGCCCTCAGGGAATAGTTCCTGTCGCGGGTTTGATAAAAGAGCTATCCCACTCACAGCCAGTGGATAAGTAGTATACTATAGTATTTTTAGGTCACCTGAGTTACTCAGGTGACCTATTGCTATCCGTTTTTGTCTGTCGGCATTTGTCATGCATTAACATTTAAACATTTTCAGTTTCTCCTCTGAAACTGCTAAACCAATTTCAACCAATTTTGGCATATAGCATCTATGGGTGAAGGGGAACAAAAATTTTGAATTTCATGGCCCCTGACCCCCTGGGGCCTGAGGGTTGGGGCTAAAACCACCAAAATTAATGCAATCTTTAAAAATCTTCTTCTTTACTCCTGGACATCAAGCAGTCAAACTGTTTGCATAATTGAACTAAGCATTGAGCCCTCTACCAGAATTTTGACATTCATGGCCCCAGGGTCAGGGGTTCTGGTGCTAGGGTGGGGCTCTAATGATAATATGGTGAAAATGCATCAATTCTTTAAAAATCTTCTCCTCTGCTCCTGGGTATTTAGCCGAGGAACTAAGTACATAGTTATGATGAGGAAAAGTGCCTCTTCCAAAATTGTGAATTTCATGGCCCCTGGGTCAGGGGTTCTGGTGTTATGGCGGGGTTCTAATGATTATACATGTATAGTGAAAATGAATAAATGCTTTGAAAATCGTTTCCTCTATCCCTGAGTACTAAGCAAACAAACTAAATGCATTAACATCAATGTAAATGTATTAAATATAATTATAAGTAAATGTGCCTTTGCTCCTGGGTATCTAGGAGGCAAAGAGTACACAAGCAAATGAGAACTATACTCCCCTTTGCTAGATGTTGTTAATCAAGAAATCCTTGTGTATAATTTAATTATTAAACAGGTTATTTGATTGAAAGGGAATACAAGAAAGAATGTTATATATATATAGAAACAAAATAAAAATGAATGTTTGGTTTAAATGAGCAAAGCATGCTCAAAGTCAGATTCTTGCCTGAAAAGCAATTTAAAAGATTGACATAATGATTATTTATATACAGGTAAACTTTGGTATCTCGACATCGAATATGTTGACAACTTGGGATATGTCGACTTCCTGTCGCGGTTCCGGCAGTATATACTATATAAATGATTTGCAAAAACTCTGATACGTCGACTCGGTAATGTCGACAACCCGGGTTATCTCGACGTATATTCACAGTCCCAAGAGCAAAATTTACCTGGTATATGTCGACATCGGCAATTTTCTGCTCTACTGAACCTAACTGTTTGTCAGATAGGGTCGCTCTTCACGCAGGGACGACTCCAGGTATCTCGACGTCGTCAAAATTTCACACCTTTCACACCCATGTTTTGACTGCACGCTGCTTAATTAATTCTATAGACTGTGTTTGCAGGTGAATCCAGAGCCCCTCGGCGTCTTTGAGAAGTTTATTGCTTAATGTTCAGCTTGGGTAATATCACTGCTAAATCAGCCGTAATTCATTCATCTGTAACAACACTACGTTAGTTTAGATACACAAATCTCTTTTAAAAATGAATTTTAATGTACATTCTTCCTGAAAGAAATAAGAAAAAAAAATAATCCGTATTTAAATTTTTTTCGGTATATCAGATGTCGACTTTATATGGTTCGAAGTTTATAGAGCGCATTTCGTATCCTGTTCTGACGAAAAGGAAAGTTACACGCAAATGCTGTAACTTTGTGAATTTAGAAGGATTTCGATAAAGAACACGTAAAATTATCAAGAATTTTAAAATAACTTCTTAGATTTTTAATAAAAATAGAGAGAATTCTGAAATATGTTGAGCTACAGTCTACATGTATATTGAAGTCTTTTGCTATGCAGTGAAATCTTGGACTTCGTCTCATCTCTGATATCTCGACACCTTGGATATCTCGACATTTTCCAATGGTCCCGTCGATGTCGAGATAACGAAGTTTACCTGTATTTAGCAAAAATTGTAATTGTACACAGTATTTTACACTGTTGCGATCTGTTTGACAGTAGATGAGTTATTGTCACTGGTATAGTCATGGTTGAAAAGAGACTGGATAAAGTTGTTTTATACTTTATCAAAGAGAACAAAGATTCACAGAGAGCCAGGTGACTTATTGTAATTCGTGACAAGTGGCAAATAGACATGTTGTATACCCTAGTCTGTGTGTACTGAATTGTAGCACTAGGCAAGTGACAAAAACATACTTGTATATATTGAATACCTTACACAATAGGCAAGTGTCGATTGTATTTGTATATTTTGCATTCATTATCATCCCTGTAAGACTTGGGAAAACCAAGTATGATCCCAAGGAGATCACTCTGGTCGAGCACGTTACAATAAGCAAGGGTATTTTTACCAGATTTTTGAAATTCTTGGGCAACATTGCTTCATCTATCAGTTAATTTTGTTTTATACTTCGATGGACCCTTTACAGTGTTGTATTATACTCAGGTGACTGTTAAAGCCCTTGGGCCTCTTGTTTTGTTAGGGAGGTAAACACAAACATAGGGATGATTCAGACTTCCTTACCATGGTGTGGCGGTTCATTTAACCAGATATAAAAGTTGTTGAACAAACTGTCACACTTCAATTTTTGTCACTCATTTAAATCAATTTTGGGGATTGCTAAAGATTTTGTCAGCCCCTTGACCCCAACCTATTTCAGATATTTTGGCCATTTCACAGAATCATCACTGAAAAACGGCCAGACTCAAAACTTTTCTTAATTAAACCTCCAGGAAACATTTATTTTTTTATTTATTCTTCATTCCTAAGTTTTCACATCCCATTTTTAACTTCATATTTGC